AACCGCGACCTCGCCGGTGATGACGCCGAGGTTGGTGGTATCGGCGGCCTGGAAGAGTTGATAGAAGACCCGTTTCTCCTCCGGAGTCAGGTTGAGATTGAGATTCCGAGCTGTTTGGGGGAAGAAGAGAGCATCCGTCAGTTCCGTTGTTCGGTCGTCATCGTATTCGACGGGGTTGGGCCGTTGTCCCCTGAGAGCTCGGGCGGACGACAATTGTGCAGCCAGGACACGGGGACTCACCGTTATCAGCCATTATTATAGCTCAGGAGGAGCTAGCCTCCCTTCCGTAGAAACGCTGTGTGCCAAATAATTGACCGAGAAATTCCGGACGGGGGAGTGTTGAAGCAGAGCAGGAGAGACGGCTGTCAACCTTGAAGGTGGAAGACAGCACGGGGCATGGATGGCCAAGGCGGCAGCAGCAGCTCTTCTGAGGGGAACTTAGTAAACGGGGGGGGATGAGAATGTCGCGAGGCAGGATTGCCAGAAGCCACAAAGAAGAGGGGGAATGGGAAGGTCCGACAACTGCAGAATGAGGACAAGTCCGAGGGGGAAGAAAAAAAAAATAAGAAAAAGGAATAGTAACCCAGAAATTAATAGAATTAGGGGAGAAGGGGGAGCAGGAGGAGTAAGTAGGAGGGAGGAACTGGCGACCAGAGAGTAACTAAAGCGAGCCGAGCACCGCAGGCAGAGGGGCGGCCCAGCCAGAGACAGCTCCTACATTAATTAACTGCCACTGCCACTGCTACTGCTATGCTTCCCCCCCGGGCGGTCAGTCAGTCAGTCACTCAAGTACTACCGACGTCAGTCCCGTTCATTTCCCAGTCTCTCTCCACCCTCCCAGGGTCCATGGATTACTTACTCCCTGGGGGCTCACCCGGTCGGCACGAATCCGACTGATGTATGCACCTCGGCGGAAGCTGTTCCTCCTTTTCTGGATGTGGCGTAATTTAGAGTAGGATCTCATAGAGTTTACTTTCCCATCTCAAAAGCCATCCCTCCCATTCTACCCCCATTCACTCCCTTTCACCATGCAATACGAACCACGGGAGAGTACTGGTAACAGCTTCATATCCTCGCTCATCGTCATTTTCTTCTCATTTTACCATTACAGGGATAATCATCAATTCGCTCGAAACCTGCAAAATGTAGATTACAATTCTGTTAGGCGCCCAAAAATCCTGCACATGTGGTTCGAACGAGCGAGTAAATTTCAGCGCTGCTTCAAGGGATATTAGAAAATATACTCAGACAAAAAGAAAACATAGTCTGTACTACGGAGCCAAGCTTCTCCTTCCTATTTGCATGCAGCCAGAGTCCCGCTGCTCATTTGGGTATACAACCTTGGCCAACGCCTTGCCCCAACGGATCAATTCACACTGCTTCAGGGCCAGCCACGGCTTCCACCCGGACGGCCCGGCCGGACCCCCCGCGGGACTCCCGCCCAAAATTCGGTCAGATCTAGTACTCGGCCTCAACCTCCTCCTCCAGGGAGTCGCTGGCAACCTCCTCGTAATCGCGCTCGAGGGCAGCCAGGTCCTCACGGGCCTCGGAGAATTCACCCTCCTCCATACCCTCACCAACGTACCAGTGGACGAAAGCACGCTTGGAGTACATGAGGTCGAACTTGTGGTCGAGAGCGGACCAGGCCTCGGAGATGGCGGTGGTGTTGGACAGCATGCAGCTATAATGGTTTTCCGTTAGCTTGCTTACTCCTTTAAAAATAAGCATATAAAATGGAGAAGAACTTACACAGCGCGCTTGAGGTTGGCAAGGTCGCCGTTGGGGACCTGCTGGGGAGGCTGGTAGCAGATACCGATCTTGAAACCAGTAGGGCACCAGTCGACGAACTGGATGGTGCGCTTGGTCTTGAGCGTGGCGACGGCAGCGTGCGTCTCCTTGGGGACGACATCACCACGGTACAGCAGGCAAGTGGCCATGTACTTGCCGTTGCGGGGATCACACTTAACCATCTGGTTATTGGGCTCAAAGCAGCTCATGGTGATCTCGCTGACGGAGTTGGACTCGTGGGAAGCCTTGTCCGCGGAGATGACGGGGGCGTAGGCCACCAGAGGGAAGTGGATACGGGGGTAGGGGACCAGGTTGGTCTGGAACTCGTTGAGATCGACGTTGAGGGAACCGTCGAAACGGAGAGAAGCGGTGATGGAAGAGACAACCTGGGCAATCAGGCGGTTGAGGTTCTCATAGCTGGGGCGTTCAATACCGAGGTTGCGGCGGCAGATGTCGTAGATGGCCTCGTTGTCAACCATGAAACTGCAGTCGGAGTGCTCAAGGGTGGTGTGGGTGGTGAGGATAGAGTTGTAGGGCTCAACAACGGAGGTGGCGTTCTGAGGAGCAGGGTAGACGCAGAATTCCAGCTTGGACTTCTTGCCGTAGTCAACGGACAGACGCTCCATCAGGAGAGCACCAAAACCGGAACCGGTACCACCACCAAAGGAGTGGAAGACCAGGAAACCCTGGAGACCGGCGCAGTTGTCGGCAACACGGCGGACCTTGTCGAGGACCTGGTCGATCATCTCCTTGCCGACGGTGTAGTGACCACGGGCATAGTTGTTCGAGGCATCCTCCTTGCCAGTGATCATGTTCTCGGGGTGGAAAAGACTGCGGTAGGTACCGGTGCGGACCTCATCGACAACATTGGGCTCAAGGTCGCAGTAGATGGTGCGAGGAACGTACTTGCCCTGACCTATACATCATAATTTGTTAGGGTGGGCTGCAGGCGAAAGGAGAGCAGGGTGCACTGAGTGGGGAGAGCTATGGAAACGTACCAGTCTCGGAGAAGAAGGTGCTGAAACCATGGTCGGGGTCATCCTTCTTGCGCTCCTCGGTCAAGTAACCGTCGGCCTGGCATCAGCAAGCAAAGGTCAGTGGGATTGCTCATGGATGTGGAGTGGCAACGCTCGACAAAAGCGTGCCTAGGCGTTTGTTTTCACATACCTGGATACCGTGCTCAAGGCAGTAGAGCTGAACAACATCGTTAGTCCACTGTTTATCCCCATAATTCATGGCATATGCCCATGTTGTTGACTTCAGAATATTGTTTCAGGGAAGGAGGGGTCGATTCCCCCTGTTTAAACATACCTCCCAGCAGGAGTTGGCGATCTGGCAACCAGCCTGACCAACTGTGAGGGGGGAAACACAAACATTAGTGACCACGCGAAAAATCAAGTGGCGGCGAGGGAAGGATTGGGCACAAACCGTTCAAAGAAATAACTTCTCTCATTTTGGCGAGTCGAATTGATAAGTTTCAGATAGTGATTGATGGAGGGACACGGAGTGGGTGTGGAATGTGGACAGAGGGAAAAATTAAAATACCCAAGGGCGATCTGTACGGGGGTTTCAGGGGTAAAGTTAGTAACCTAACGAGCCACCACAACACAGGGCACGAAAGGGGGTTAATTGAAGAGGGTGAATTGGATGAAGAGGGAGGGAAAGGAAGATTCAAGGGAAAGGGAACAGGTGGGAAATTAGTAAAAACGGGGGGGAGGGAGGGAGAGGCCACGAACCCTGGGGAACTGTTTGGTTAGTGACAATGGAGGAGCAGGACGAGAATCGGTCGACTCGATTTGTTGTGGTCTTTCATGCGCTGTCAACCCAACGATGCCGCCGTGGTTGATCCGTCCGTTGGGTCGCGTTGGGCTATGAGCCTTCTGATTGGCTTCTGCCCACCTGGCGGTCAACAGCTGAGTCAGCACCCTGTTCCGGTTAAGATCTGGTCACGTGGATATCAGTGACGGCATGACGAAAGATCGCCGAACATCAGCCGGATCATCGCAGTCCATGGATTGCTCACCACCATTACCAATGCAATGGCCATGTTTTCTTCTCTCAATTGATCCCTGTCCTCGTCCTACACCTTCTGAATCTTCAACATATACGCCCATATCAAACACGAATATCCCTGAAATCAAACATCAAGAATATTCCTTCTTCCACTTTTCACCGCAGCTCCGATCTAGATCTTCAGCAAAGCTTCAGACAAGTACCTATCCCAATCCCACACTTTCCACACGATATCAAGTCCTCTAACGCAACACCGCAGGCCCATTACAGCTTTTGTTTCATTCTACCTCCAACAATGACCATATAAAACAATACTGCACACCACGAAACACCCCCTCATCGACCATAACCAACCAACAATGCCTCTCACCCTTCCCCTCCTCCCCCGCCATGTCCCCTCCTCTATCCCTTACCTCCTCCTCGCTTTCCTCCTCTTCACGACCCTCGCAACCGCCAACGTCGAAAAGACCATCTTTTTAGCCCCTCCCCCTACCACAATTCCAACCCCACATCCCCCAATCGACGACCTAGGTCTCGCGCGCCTCTCCCCCTCTCACCCCATCATCCGAACACACCTCAACGCATCCTTCCCGACCCAATCCTCACCAGGGACTGAATCCTGGTTCTTCCTACAAAACCTGACACCTGGTCGACGCTATGAAGTACGCATATGCTGGCTAGCAACTGTACGTGACCCTTCCACCCTATTCCCACTGAACCCCAAATCCACCCATCTACCCTCATACCTAGTCTATACTAAGTCTGTGAAAAAAAAAAAAGCAACCAACATCCTTCACCCTAACAACATACACCCTCTCGCACGCCCTCTCAGACACCTTCCTCCTCTCCTCCATAACAAAGTACTCCTCCCTGCGCCTCGCCAGCACTCCAAACTCCGAACTCAACCTCGACCTCGACGACACAACCACCACCAACTTCAACCCCGAAATCCCCCTCGACAGCAACGAGCCCATCACAGACTCTGTTTTATTCCTACGTATCCGCGCCGCGGCAGACTACTACACTACGGATAAGGAGCTGATGACACATGTGCCGCCCGTGGCGGTGGATGTGATTCTAGATCCGTTTCTGGGGAATGTGTTTCCGAGGTCGTTGGTGCCGACGGCGTGCTACGGGGTGATTGTGGCCGTGGTGGCTGTTTTGGTTGGGAAGTGGGTGGTTGGGGAGTTAGGAAGAGTGGTAGATGACATGGCTGAGGAGAGGGAGAAGGAAGAGGGAGATGAGGATGTGGATGGGGATGGGGATGGGGAGGTAGTAGTAGATGGGGTGAGAGAGGGTAAGAAGGTGCGGTGATTTATGATCTTTGAACGGATATATACATGCGTGCATGATGATTACTGTGGATGATATTTGCATATTGGTATATTACTACTTTCGGCACTTGTATGATTATTGTTTACATATTTTCAATTTACCCAGATTTAGTGACAAATTATCACGACATTCTTTTTTTTTTTTTTTTTCAACATCAAGGACATCCATACATACATACAACATGGCTTCATTACACAGGCGCTGCGTCTATCTTACCGTCTTTGTATGAAAGCACATCCAAAAACGAGAGGAAACACAGGACAAAAGTAGCCCTAAAACATACAGTCATATCCATCGCTCCACGACCAAGACAACGAAAACAATAGGGGGAATATCTAATGCGAACCATCCATCCCAAGCAAATAAAGCACACAGTCATGACAAAACATAAAAAAAACACATCAAAAAGGCATACAGATCTACCTGTAGTCAGATCTCCATAACAAACACGCCATGATCTCATTCCAAGATTAGTAAGTAGAGTAGAGAGGGTATTCAAAATCGTCGGTAGATTGATCAATCTTCAAAGAAATGCAGCACCGCACGCATACCCTTACTGCCCAGGCCGTGCGGCGGATAAGCAATATAGAGCGGGTCGTCCTCGGCGCCAAGCTTAGCCCGGAACTCACTCTTGCGCACCAGATGGAACTGCTTGGCCATGGTGTCGTAGGTGTGCTGGAGCATCTTGATGCGCGCGCCGCGGAGGTTATGGCCGGGGGTCAGCGAGGACATAGCGCCGGCGCCGAATGTGAGGGACTTGACACCAGCGGCGGCGGCTGTTTGAATGGCGTGGGTGACGATGTGTTCGATAACGCCGTTAGGGGAGCCCGGGAAGTCGAAGCTGTATTTGATCTGCATGCCGTGGACGGGGGCGAGCGTGGCCAGGGCGACAAAGGCGCAGATGGTGCCCTCCTTGTCGACGGCATAGAAGTACCAGCGGTGCGCGGGATCGCGCCAGGGGCGGATCTCGGACAAGTGTACCTGTGTGCCCTTGCGGTTGTTGAGCCAGTCCTGGACGCGCTGGTCGATCTTCTGGCGGACCTCGTCGGAGACCATCTCGCCTCTATTCACGGTCACAATCTTGACGCCCTCGCTTTCGGCGTGTCGGATCTTGCGAGCGATTTCGCCGTCCGAAGCTGCCATGTTGCGGGCTGGGTTTACGCGCTCCTCGGCAATGCAGGACAAAGTTCGCCAGCCCATGCGCTCGCCTAGGATGGTCTCGACTTCCGCGGAACAGAGCAGCCAAACGGGCTTGTACTTTGTCTCGCGCCGCAGCCACTGCAGGAACTGTGTGATCACTTGGCGGTACTGCTTGGGATCGCACAAGGGGTTGCCAGGAATGATCACATAGTTGCTGGTGCTAGGCACGTAGGAGATAGCGGCACCCGTGCCCATGTCACGCCAGATCTTGAAGCGCTCATCGCCCCAGGAAGTGGAGGTAGCATCGCCGTAATTGGCAATAAGATGCTCGAGCGGCTGGAGCTGACTCGTATCCTGTGCGATGGCACCCTTCCTGTCGCGCGCCCACGGAGGATCAATAGTCGATGACTCTGGGTGCCGCAATTGTGCCTCCACCGGCTTGGCCGGAAAGCTGCGGGGGTCGCGAGGGAAGAGGGATGCTAGGCGGATATTGCCCAGTTTCAGAAGCAGCATCAGCAGACGCTCCAGACCAACACCTGCTCCAGCGTGGGGTGGCGCACCCCAACGGAAGCCCTCCATATAGTCTTCCATGGTATCGGGGTCGATGCCCGAGCGACGCATGTTCTCCTCCAGCATGTGGGGGTCGTGGATACGCTGGCCACCAGAGACGATCTCCTGACCGCGAATGAAGATGTCGAATGAGTTGGTGTATCGATCATCCTCGGGGTCGGGCATGGTATAAAAGGGACGTGCGCTGGCAGGGAATTTGTCAAGGATGTAGTAGTCAGTGCCATACGTCTCCTTGACCAACTCACCCAGGCGAATCTCATCGCGAGTGTGGAGGTCCTCATCGTCTGGCAGCGGGTTGCCATCCTCGTCGCGCCAGCCAGAGTCATTCAACATCTTGATGCCGTCCGAGAAGCGCAGGATGGGGGTCTTCTCCAGCCACACAACATCTTCTGATGGGAATTGGTGCTTCACAGTCTCCACCTCGCGGCGGTAACGACCATACACACCTTGAAGGATGGACTTGATAACCGCATCCAGCACTTCCAACATTTCATGGTAGTGCTCCTCAATGGCCATCTCAATATCCAACCCGGTATACTCAGTCAAATGGCGATGGGTATTGGAATTCTCCGCTCGGAACACAGCACCGATCTCGTATACACGACCAAAATCGGCGGCGATAGCCATCTGCTTGGCTAGCTGTGGACTCTGCGCCAGGAAAGCATCTCGCCCGAAGTACTGCACGTGGAAGACACTGGCGCCTGACTCGGTCGCCGAGCCTTGCAGTTTTGGCGTGTGGATCTCCATGAAGCCTTGCTCGTCGAGAGCAAATCGGAAGAGGTTGCAGATGGCGGATTGAATGCGGAAGATGGACTGAGAGGTCGGGGTGCGCAAGTCGAGTAAACGATTGGTGAGACGAACGCGATCGGGGATGTGACTGCGGCGGCCTTCGATGCGCTCCTCTTCGGCCGTCTGGATCTCTGCCTCATAGATACTAAATGGGACAGGCTCCTCGCGACGCACGACCTGGTGCAGCTCGTCGATGGAGATCTCGACGTCGTGGATGGTACAGCCCAGAATCGGCACCTGAGGCTTCTGTATAGTTCCCCGGACACGGACAATGGAACCCAAACGCAGATGCTCGGCCCAGTGAATCATGGCAATGGACTTGACACCTGCCTCCTCATGCAGAACACCTTGGAAGGTGAGCAGCTGCTGGCGGAATACTAGGAAGACCAGCTTGGCACTCATGCGGCGGATGATATGTAGACGAGCTGTGAAACAGATCTGCTGGCCCACCAAGGACTCGGAGATGGCATCTAGATTGGTACGGACCTCACGAGGGCGTGTCCGGGACTGTATCAGCGGCAATTCGCCATAGCGAGCCTTCATCTCTGAGGTCTCCTCGCGGATGGCATTAGCGACTTCCTCCTTCCGACGCGAATCGGATTCGTCGGAATGACGCTCCTCGCTCAGACGGGACTTCTCTTTGCGCTGTTTACGTGCCAGGCGTTTCTGCTGATTCTTGCTGATGCTTCCAGGCGATGAAGAGTCATCGGAGCCGTCATCGGAGGAAGAGACATAGTCGCGATCGCGCAGGAAGTTGCTGAGGATGCTGCGGCGGGGAGACATGGATGCAGCCGAGGCCGGGGTACTGTGACTCGACTCATCGTCGGAAGTCGACTTGTTGGGTACAATCTTGGAGAGCGCACGTTTGATAGACATGATGGGGGCGGGAGGATGGGAGTCAACTCCCATGTGATGTGATAAATAGGATTGAATGGGTAAAGATGAGGAAGAATGACCGTCAATGACGGGGGCAGATGAGAGGGGGGAGGAGGATGGAGGGGGAGAGAGGGTACCGTCAGCGCTTATAAGTAGAAGGAAGAGTTGGGTTGGGCTCAGGGTTTTCCAAGACAATTAAGGTTAGTAGGAGAGCTTAGCAGGGGCCTTACAAACCCAAGAGTTGGCCAGAATGTGAGAGAAGTAGTCGAATTATTCATAGCATAAGCGTGCAAAGTAAAAGAAGAAATACGAGGGAGCAAATAAAGGCTGGCGGGTCGATCCCGAGGCAGTGATGTCATGCTTGTGATGATGCAAAACCCGGGATATCAATTAAAACACTATGTAATAATAATAGATTACAGAGTAGTGGAAACAGGGTCCAGTTCAGGAATGAAGGACCGATGATGTGGTCCAAGACTCTTTTTGCCAACTACTAGAGCTGTTCTCATTCCCAATTCTAATTTCCTCTTTTTTTTTCCTTGTCAACTTCTTGCATAAACTGCATAACTACCTTTCTGTGTCATCTCAGCCATCATCTCTTGGCTTCTTCTTACTTTGGATCTTCGTCTTCCTCGGCAGCTGCTTTCCGTGGATCAGACGGCCCTTAATCCCTCTCCAAACGTAAATTAATCGCCTTCCATTCCAATCAACTGATTGCTATTCTTGAACGGAAGGTCAGGTCAGGTTTGGGTTGCCTCCGACTTTCCGGGCGCTCCCTCGGAGTTATCCTCAGAGTTAACTCTTTGCATTCTCACACACACACTCTCTCTCTCTCTGTCTCTTCCCCCAATCTGTTCCTGCCTCGGATCTCTCGTAACTTTCTTTCCTACAACTTACCTCTTTTAAACTCTTCTCTCCGCTGTATGGCCATTCCATCATGCCGTCTTCCCGCTGGTGGCTCTATGTCCAAGCCATTGTCTGGCGCTTTTTAATGCGCATTGGCATGTTCCTGCACGATGTCACTCCTCCGCGACCTCCGCGGCCTGCCTTTGTTCGCACTATTCCCACCGGTTCGGGTCAGATCCGTCTCTGCTTCTACACGCCACCCAACTACCCCATCACTCGCAAAGAAGGTCGTCGTCTGCCCGTCGTGGTCAATTTCCATGGAGGAGGCTTCACGCTAGGATGCCCCACCGATGATAGTCGCTGGGCGCAGTGTGTGCTCGGGGAAGTCGGTGCCGTGCTGGTCAGCGTCGGATACCGTCGTGCTCCCGAACATCCGTTTCCCGCCGCCGTTGACGACGGCGTCCTCGCCCTGCAGTATCTCGCTGCCCACGCCGTCGAGCTGGGCTTGGACGTCTCGCGCATCGCCCTGTCCGGCTTCTCCGCTGGTGGTAACCTCGCCATCACCGTACCCCTCCGCCTGCGCAGTATCCTCAGTGAGCAGCAACAGCAGCAGCAGCAACGCGACCAACAAGACGTCCTCGAACCTCGCAGCAGTCCGCCCAACTTGGGCCCCTACGACTCCACCCAGCAGCTAGTATCCGCCGCCTCCACCAGCGAACTCAACATCGTCGCCCTCTTCTGCTGGTACCCAATCCTCGACTTCGAAGAGTCGCGTGACCATCGTCGCGCCATGAGCCTTATGCCCAGTAAGACCCTCCCAGCCTTCTTCACCGATCTCTTCGATGAATCCTACCTGCCGACGCGCGAGGAGCGGGTCTCGCCCTATGCGTCGCCTGTGCACGCCACGGATGAGATCCTCGCCGATGCCCTGCCGCACGATATCTTCTTCTATATCTGCGAATGGGATATGCTTCTCAAGGAGGGCCAGGTGTTTGTGCGACGTCTGCAGAATATCAACAAACATGTCCGCGCCATGATGATCGAAAAGGCGCCCCATGCGTGGGACAAATCGCCCAATCCGTTCCGCGATCAGGATAAAGTTGATATTCTCTACCGCGATGCCTGTGCTGATATGAAGCATATCTTTGGTGCGTAGACCCATCCTCTTACCTCAGAGGATGGGCGGTACATATAACTCATTGCGTTTTTCTTTCTTCCCTTGACATCCTGGTCTGTATAAACTATCCCTTTCCCTTATACGTCCTATTAGTTTCATAACTCTTTTGGAGTCATTGGCGTTATTTTGGGTTTTCGATCATCATTAGAATCGTTACATCATCTTTACTACACACACACACATCTACTTGTACACTAGACGACGATCATTGATTACTACCGAAGTTACTGCCATGCATAAGCGATTGACTTGCATTATCATTCCAAGAAACAATTGGCGGGTAACAGCCAATGGTTCTAACAACTAGACCTTTCCTACCAATAGTAGTACTTACCCTTCCTATCGTACCATGTGCATTACATATAACATGTACTAGAAGCTCCTTCCTTCTCCACACTACTACTACCAGAAGTACTTAGTTGTAATTTCCAAATTATCACGGTACCAACATCTTCACATGTAGAAACGGGAAGCTCCCTCCTCTTCCTCTTTTACATGATGATCAGTAAATCATTTCAATGTGCCGAGGTAGATAAAGTATGTTGAATTGAATTTGGACATCCATGTTGACACTCTTAGCTTTAGACAGGTACTCGATCTAATCATTTTGATCGGTCGAACCAGGTAACGAACAACTACGAACTATCACTGGTCTTTGATGTTTACATGCGTCCAGGAGTTTTTAATTTTTGAAATTTGTTGATTGTTCATTCTCTTCTACCCCGCAGATGTCATCATACATCCATCTGTCCATTCCATCCATCATCGTCCATCGTCCATATCATTATAGAAACCATCACGATACCAGTCTCACTGTAGCAGACCTGGCAACGTAGACACAGGTAGATAACAAGCAGGCATATGCGACATATGCATGCGTTATAAATCAAATCAAATCAAATCAGTATCCGTACGCCGCGCTAAATTCCCACCCATGAAACCAACAAAAACTAGATATCAAGAGAACTTTTCTTCTTTTCAGAGGAACATGAAAACCTGCTGAGATGGCATAATCGCAAACAGATTGGGGGTATTGTGCTCGCCAATAGAACGAGAGACAGATAGAGAAAGAGAGAGAAATAAAGAAGCACTTTTAAGAGTTGTTCTTTTGAAAGGTCTTGACGCATCACAATTCGTCATCCGTTTCGGTCCCATCGCTGAGGTCTTCATCCGACTCGTTGTCGTCCGCTTCGCTGTCCGAGTCATCGTCTTCATCTAGACCTGGGATGCCGCGCCAGTGGACGTAGTCGTTCTCCACCCAGCGTCGGCTGCGCGGGAGCTGGTAGGGGTCAAAGGGGAAGTAGGCGTCTAGTTGGTAGCCGAGATCGTCGCCGGCGCGAATCTCCCGCTCGACCTGGCTGAAGCGCGGATCGGCCATGGCGCCGATGCTGCGATACGAGGACACGCGCAGTCGCTTGTTTGTCTCCAGGATGCTGAACACGTACATCAGGTTGAAGTGCTGCGACATCCGCGCGAACTGGGACACGATCGCGGGCGAGCACACCTTCAGCGGGTTCAGCTTGGAGTGGATGGCCTGGTGCAGCACTTCCTTGACGGAGGGCGGGAACATAATGTCCTCCGGCTCAAGCTCGTCGACTTGGTCCGGAGTGTCGCCCTCCAGCGCAGCGGTGGTCAAGTCTCGCCAGCGGAAGCAGAAGATGTAGAGCAGGGCCTGAGCCGTGGAGTAAAAGGGGCCATAGCGGCGGAGGTCGGGGCCCCGGCAGGTAGCTTCATAATCAAGACGGAGGCTGTTCAGATACGTGCCCAGCAAATCGAACACATCCCGGACAACCTCGCCAGAGATATGAGCTCCGCGAGCAACGAAGCTGGCGAGATAAGCAGCAGCTGATTGGCGCATGATGGCAGGCTGCGTCTTGTTGAAGATAAGCTCGGTGCACATCGCGGCAAAGCGGTCCACAAGGATGGGGGATGACTGGGAGAAGTGGAAGAGGAGGAACTGGGAGTGGCGCGAGCGGTATGTGGGAAGAATAATGTTCTGGAAATGGCTCATCAGAAGATCAAAGGCATTCTCCTTGTCGTCCAGGGAGCCCAGCGTGAACGGAGGCGCATAGTATTCGAACATGGTGTCGATCATGCCATCCAGCTTGAGGATGTTGTCCCGAATGGCCTTGATTCGTTTGGATTCATCGTCTACCGAATCGTCACTAAGGACGGAATCGTTGTCATCGTCGTCTTCCGCATCATCTTCCTCGATCATGACTGATTCCGGAGAGACTCCCTGCAGGACATCCTCACCGACTTCATCCTCGATGTCCTCCAGGTCCACTTGAATGTGAACGTCAATCTTGACAAGCTTTTCCGTAATCAGGGAAAGAATATCACCCTGAAGCTCCGGGGCATAGCTGATCACTCGAATGAGGTTCCGCGTATACGCAATGTTGGCCTTGGCCGAATCGGAAGCAAACGGAAATTGAGCAGACAGAAGAGGCGACAGCGTTCCACTACCAGACGGAATCAACTGCATAACATGGCGCAAAGCCAAGTGCACGCGGGAGTAAAGCACGGGCACATGCACAGACGGGTAACCTGGGATTTTCCCCGTGTCCTTGGGAAGCTCCCCCAGAAAGTTGACCAGCATTTTGAGCACAGCCCCCAGATAGCTGCCCTGGGCAGCGGCAAGGTTACCGAGAAAGCGTATATACAACTTGATGTACGACTCGTCCCGGCCCAGCCATACGCTATTCAGCACAGCTTGGACCAGTCCGTTGCAACTGCGATCCAAGGACGCAACATTTGACAAAAGACCCAGGAGATGATATCTCAAGGACGTATGTGTAGGTACATCGTAGGCAAACATGTTGTCCTCATCCCGGCGCCGCGGGTCCACCGCAAAAGTCTCCTTGATGTGGTCGTACGCCTCGCTGTCAGTGCCAGAGACATGCCGTTGGATGGCCCTGCGCACCTCCTCGCGGACGACGGCTGCGCTCTTCTCTGGCTTCCGTTCCGGCTCAGGTTCCTCTTTATATGGCACCATTAAAACCTCCTTATCAAACTTCACTCGCGTCCGCTTCCGAGGACTCGGGCTGGTTTCCGCGTCGGATGAGGACGACGGGGACAGGGAGAGATCGCTGTAGTCGTCTCCCATCATCATTCTGTGCTTAATCCCAGTCGTGGATGGGGTGCTCTTAGGCGTTTTTAGAATGGACACAGGTGATGATGTAACTAGCATCTTGGATGAATTGGTCGTCGGCCTGGGTGCGATCGTTGCGGTGCGGGAGGCGGTGGCAAGGACGACCATGCCAGGATCGACGGTTCTATAATAATGAAATGGCTGGGGAGTGCTTGAAACAGGACCCCAGATCCAATCATGAGTTGCACTCTCACAGTATCACACGCGAGGAGTGGGATATTAAGAGATGGGAGCAGATCTTGTAAGCAGAGCACACGACCCGACCAGTTGTAAGTCGAGAGATGATCCACCTGCTGTTGCTACAGATAACAAGCGCGCTTGGGAGTAAGGAAGACGAAAGATACCTTCATCGGACTGTCCAGCACACGCACTCTGAGAACACTGCGATGCACGAGTGTGTGAGAGGGAGACAGACCAGCAGTCGAAGGGGAGCCCGTCTGGAGTAAGAACTAGGAAGAAAGCAGACGAAGCGGAGAAGCAGAAACTCAGTGAAATTTTTTGGGTGTGGGGCGTATGTGGAGCCTCAGGCTGCCAGCTCGTGACCAGCGCGTGACCAGCGCGCAACAGCCTTACCCGATCGGGTTATACATTTCTTCGAAGTCCACCAGACGGATCAAGAAAAAGAGATACTGTACGCAAATGTATGCACATGCATGAGATGCAGAACTTTCTGATGTATCATTCCATTGTTACAAGATAAATCCAATAAAAGCAATTCTGGCAAGTGTCTTTCGCATTCAAAACGACGCTAAGAAGTATACAGATCCGAGAACCTCGTTAGACATGTCAGAGTCCGTCACATAGCCAGTCAGCAAAGCGAATAATTCGATCCACGCAACATGGAACCACCATCCTGCAACCAGTAAATAGAAAGAAAAAAAAAAGCAAATCTGGGGATGATAGATCAAGCTCCTCCCAGTGGTATCTAGCTAATTCAAAAAAAAAGATGAAACCGACTAATTAGATCACAAGACATTAAAGAGTGAATATGAGTGGGTCATGGCACAAGTCAATCCTGGCGAGGGAAGGAAATATCCAGTTCCTATCCAGAGCCCTCCAGGCGGAATCCCTCGGAAGTCAAAAAAAGTAAAGAAAAGATGGTAGAGAAAGTAAAACAGCGAACAGGGTCATGATTCAGAGCCATGCCCCCGTACCTATCGGACCAAGATAATCATCAAAAACGCTGCCATAAAGGGCCTCGATCTCCACGAGATAGTCATCTGCGGTGAACTTCATTAATCCCTTATCTCGTAGAATCAACTCCTCATCGTCGAGTATACGGGTGCCACCGAACTCCTCAACCACCTCGTTCACTTGCTCGAGTTCCTTGCTAAAGGGATGGGGCTCGGCCTTGTAGCTATCCTGTGTCTGACGTGCAGCAGATGCATTGCGCAACGAGTTCAACGGAGGTGGGGATAGCCGAGACAAGGAACGCTGGCGAGCAAGCTCTTGGTGAGTCCGCTTTGTGTGGGAGAGCGCCCGTTTGGGAACTAGTGGCGCATCCGTAGAAGAGTTGGTCGATGTCGAGGAGCGAGGGTGGCTCGTGATGGTCGCAGATCGCTTCGGGAAATAGGATGGCAATGGGTTTGGCTCGATGGGCGACTCATCGGGTGTAGTCAGAGGCGACCCAAAACTGCGTTGCGTAAAAGACATTTCCGAATCGTCGGGCGACTGCAATGACGAGGTAGAAGACGAAGTTGCCGAGTGGATGTCAGGCGCGTTGTAAGCCAGCATGTTCGTCGTCGACAACAACTCCACGGGAGCCGAAATCTTGTCTCGATTGATCGGACCAGCGTGCTTATGTGGTTCCCGGTATGGCATTGGTGCCGAGACCTCGGGGCGCTTGCTGCGCTTGGTGAACGCTCTAGCCAAAGCCATGGTGACAATATTCGGGAAATTAAGGTGTAGTCGAGAATGCAATTGACGATAAGTGCTGGGAGGTGCAGACTAGGCGGTCGGACTCAGATATAATGGCGGATATGCAGCTGGCCGGGAAAGGTCGATAGTTGTATAAGCAATATTGCTTTTTGCTATTTTAGGGTTTTCCGTAACCGTCTCCTCGTTCGCGAGAGACTGACGCCTTTGGCGGTATAAGGAAAGAATGCTGAT